ATCATCTGTTTCCACATATGTAGTCAATTTGATTTCTGTGTATTCCATCTTGTGAGGTCCGTGTGTATAATCATCTCTTAAACTGTCTAAAGAAGGTATTTGAAATGAGCAAATCATTGATTTTGCAGAATTCTGTCATGCGTTTTCCATCATCATTTCTATAACCAAGGCCACATTTTCCAAATATTGATCCTTCCTGTTTGCTCCCAACCTTTGCTTTCCAATCACCAGTAACGATCAATACATCTTGATTGCATTTTGTTGTCGTTAAGTGCCGTTGAGTCAGTTCTGACCCATAGCAACCCTGTATAGGGTTTCTGAGGAGCATCTGGCGAGCTTGTGATATAAAATCCTCATATACAGTGCTGTTCTTACCTCTCAGGAGTGTATATGAGAAGGTTTAATTAGTGTAGACCTCTCTAGATAGCTTACCTCGATGCTGCATGAATTGACACCTATTTTCAATGTTGATTAGTTCTACCCCTTTGTGCCCTTCTGTCTGTTCAGTCTTTTTCTCTTTCCTAATCCTTACACATAAAACGGAAGTACCACACTTCAGGAAGCATGTCTTGCTTTGCTTGGTTCTGTGCAGTACATGTTTATTGAGTGTGTACTATGTGCCTGATGCTGTGCTAGCACACTGCTACAGATGTGAACTTGGAAACTCTCAGCGAGGGCTTTTAATACATGAGTTGTGAATTGCCCTTACATTTCTGATGATAGTGTCATGTAATTTTTTCCTTAATAATGAAACAAACTACAATACCCTTCCTAAACTTCTCTTGTGTTGGTATGCAGTGAAGAGTTTGTATACAGATTTGTGGATGGTGTGCCAAGTAAATTTTATTAATGGTAAAATATTATATGCTATTTCCTAATGAGGAAATGGCATGAGGAATTGAATTTTGAGAACTGAAAGTCAGAAATGCATTAAATCTTATACATAAATAATGATCACAACAAATTAACTCTTAGAGGAAAGTTAACCTAATGAATTTTTCATGAAAAAAAATAATTCTGTGTTGTTGTTGTTAAGTGCCATTGAGTCAGTTCCTACTCATAGTGACCCTGTATAGGGTTTCCCAGGAGCAGCTGGTGAGTTTGAACCTCCGACCTTGTGGTTCAAACGGACCCTTTTGGTTGTGGTGTAACCACGCAGGCTACTGATCTAATTCATTTTACATATATATCAAGAAGTCCTGGTGGTGTGGTGGTTAAAGTGCTCAACTGCTAACCAAAAGGTCAGAGGTTCATGCCTACCAGCCACACTCCATGTTCGAAAGATGTGGCCACCTGGTTTCATAAAGATTTACAGCCTTGGAAATCCTATAGTGGCAGTAACTCTCTTGTAGGGTTGCTATGGGTCAGAATTGACTCAAGTGAAGTGAGTTTGGTCTTGGAAAATCTACAGTCATGATTTGGGTTAACCAAGAAATTCCATAGCTAAGATCAAGTGGACACACACATATGGCAGTTCACGTCTTCATCCAGCTATCCATTCATGAGTCAACCCACCCACCCATCCATCCATCCATTCATCTGCTCATCTGCTGGTCTACTTACTTGTCCATCTGTCTGTCGTCCATTCATCCACCCATACATCCCCCCACCCATCCATGCATCTACCTACCTAGAAAGCTGACCCTTATGGCTCTTTAAGATCCTAGTTATGAAAGAATTCATTCAGCATTTATGTTTCTAAAGTGTAAAACCTTGAAGAAATTAGAAATAGCACTTTATTAGGAAAAACTGAGCGACTTCTTTCTGTCTTAACTAACTGCATCTGGATATCAAATCATTATAATTCAAATTCATTTAATCCCACATCTTATTTCTCACAATTGTTCAAGGAAATTTAACAGCCTGTGAGTATAAATCAGTCAGTATCACTCTCAGTCAGAAGTAAAGAAACTTGGAATGTAACTAATGTCACTGAACTCTACACTTAAAAATGGTTAAAATGATCATCTTTTTATTATGTATATTTTACCAATAATAAATTTAAAAGAAAAATGAAAGTAAAGAAACTTGATGTTTTAGCTGCAGTGGTTAATCTAAAACATCATATGTGATTTCTTTTCATTTGTTAGAATATTTTCGTCTTTGAGGTTTTGTAAAAGCAGAGGTTCCAGGGATTACTCTATAGTAAAATGTGAGATAACTAGACCTAAATTGGCTAACTCCCTTAATTAAGAATTTTTAAGTGTGTGTATAGAGAGTAAGAGACAGTGACTAGTTCTTAAGATCATGACGAATCACTGGAAAATGTACAATCAGGACTTCGGTTAACAAAACAATTCCAAAGATAATGTTGAATGGACACACACATGCAGCAGTTCACTTCATCCTGCAGCTCTTCATTTGTCCACCAACTCACTTATCCACTCATACACCCATCTGTTGTCCATCCGTCTGTTATCCATTCATCCAGCCATCCACCCTCCCATCCATTCACCTATCCATCTGTCTGGTTTGTAATACAGTGCATGTTCTTACTGAAAGTTGACCCTGATGACTCTTTGAAATCCTAACTACGAAAGAATTCGCTCAGCACTCTTAGATTAAAACGCAAGAATTTATTATTTTCTCTATTAACAGAAATACCACAAAAAATAGATTTCCAATTAATTGTTAGTAAACTGGAAAATCAGTTAATTAATCTACTGATTGCCTACTGAATTTAGATTCTACTAAGAATACAAAGAATATAAAATGAGGTCCATCTCTCAAGAAGCTTATAAATTTAATTGGGAAGACGAGGGCTACATATCTGGTAAGTTAAATAGTGATATAAGAAAACTCAGTAACAGAAGAAATGCTTCAACCCAAGTTTTGCCACATAGTGGCATAGTTGATGTGTGAAATGTGTCATGTTGCCCCAGATCCCTCTTGCTCCCAGTCACTTAGAGGACTTTGTTTGTGGCTTTTAAGGCCTTTCTACATTGTCCTTCTTCTCTCTTGCTATGTTTTGTAAGGCTGGCAGTGCTAATAAGCTGATCGTGTTAACAGTGATGCTGACATCTGCATGCACTAGGAGCTGAACTGCTTAAGGATAACATCCCTTTTCCGACTGAGTATAAATGAACCATACTCTGATTATTACCTCTGCATCCATTATTACCTCTGCAATTGTACAACTTAAGTCTGTGTCTCTTAAATTGAGGATTGGCCTGTAAGCCTTCAAAAAGACCCCATAACTCTTGCGCTAACAAGGAAAATCTAGGTTGTCTATGTTTAGAGTATTTTTCTTTATCATCTTTCGCTGACCACCTTCCATCTGTTATCGCAAACAACTTTTCTGTATTTCCTATAGCAAAATCATGTATTGTCTCGCATTGTGATCAACTTTTTGCTATTTTGAAGGAGATGGAAGAGTCATAAGCCCTTCGCCTCGTAACAAATCTTCATGCATCTCATCCACAACAAGCGTGACAGAACTGTGTGGTCTGGAAATGAAAACTGCCACGAGCCCCTTATCAGCATTTGGAGACTCTTCCATGATTCAGATACCTTCAAAGTCCAGAATCCGGCAGGGCTGCCATAGTGCTGGCCCAAATGTTTCTGGTAATGAGGGACTATCACCCCAGTTATTAGGATATATTAGGAATCAGGCTTCAAAAGGGTTAAAGATAGCACTAGAGTTGTCCTGTCCTTTTAAGCAATCACAGGGGAAAACAATTTGTCAAACACAAAACACACTTAGATGTAAGAAGAAAAGTAACAAACTCAAATTCAGTCGTTAATTTCAAATATGTGGAACAATGAAAACACACGGGGCTGTCAGTGAGGCAGAATCGAGTCCGCGGCACTCACAGCAACAACCACACAGAAACTGTACATTTAAGAAATGTATGTACATTTAGACATTTGTAGGCACCCGTGTTTTCCAAATAGAAGATGCTTTATAGCTTCACGATCTTATAGGTTTTTCTTAATGAAATGATTTGTATGTTGTTTTCAACAGGTGATCATGTTAATTTGGTGAGCTCCTCGATGTCTTCATTTCCTATTCTACAGCGTTCTTCTGAAGAGAAAATTCTTTACTCAGACAGGTTGACTCTAGAAAGGTGAGGACAATTTATTTCATTTCATTTTTTGGGATAGTTAATACATGTTGTTGTTAAGTACTATGAAGTCGCTTCCGACTTCTAGCATCCTTGTATAGGTTTGCCACAGAGCCGCTGATGGGTTTGAACCGCCAGACTTGTGATTAGCACCACACCAGGACTCCAGGTAACACATAGACATGATATACAATTTAAAGATTGAAGAGTCCCCCTCCCTCCTCCTGTTTCCCAACTACTTGGTTCTTCTACCTAGATAGAATCAATGTTACCAATTTTTTTGTTTATCCCTGCAGACGTGTACCAAGGAATCTGATATCTGTGTAATGTAAAAACTTTTGCCTATATTCCACAAGAGTACTAGAAACCCACTGTTACCGGTGATCCTGTAGGACACAGGAACCGCCCCATCAGGTTCCCAAGGCTGTCATCTGTACAGAAGCAGACGGCCTCACTCTCTCGCATAGTGCCTAGTGGTGTGGGCTCTTGACCCACTGCACAAGACTGCTATAGCACTTGTACAAGACGACGCTGACGGCGATGGAGTCTAGGGTAGATACCATGTTCCTATGAAAGTCTGTCCAGTCTCACTCCCTGGGCTCTGACCTGTCCTGTCCCCTCCTGCCCTCACTCTGCTTCAGCCACACTTGTTCCTGGCTTGCCCTTGAGTCCACCAAGTATGCTTATACATCAGGCCTTCTGCCATTGTAGTACCCTCGGCATGGAATGTTGTTCCACCACGTATCTGTACTCTTACTCTGATGACCTTCTTTCCCTGGCCACCCTCTCCAAAATTGTCACCCCTTCCGCCTTGACAGTCCCCAGCCCCCTTCCCTGCTTCATTTTTCTTCTTAGCGCTTACCACTCTCTTAACATTAAATATTTTACATCTCATAGTTACTGTCTAGAATTCAAGCTCTATGAGCACAGGGCTTTTTATTCAGTTCTTTATCTCTAGCATCTAGAACAGACAGAGCCTGGAACACAATAGGCTCTCAATAAAAACGTTTGAATGAATATTTAGGACTTGATATCTGCATCTTTACATCTAGGGAGATGTCAGCAATAGAATGCTGGATGAAGGATCCTCACTCAGTAGTATAACCGGCAGAGAAAAAATTTCTGCTGGGCATATCTTTAGTTTCGCAGTGCTCACTCGACAGCAGATATCACAGACTATCTTTGTAGCTGGGAAAACATCTCTGGAGGGGATAGTTTGCTGTTTTGTAGACAAAGGAACACTTGAGGGCAGTATTGGCCATAGCGTCTTTGCAGTGTCACTGGTTTTTGAGATTCTGATGTTATCTCCTGGTGTGCTGCTGTAGGATTAGCACTGGACTTTGAACCACAAGGTCTGCTGTTCAAACCCACCAGCTGCTTCTTAAGTCACTATGTGTCAGAACCACCTCGATGGCACATAGCAACACAACAGCAATGTTGTCTAATATTTAAAACATCATGGTACTTAAATGCTTTCAGGGATTTTGTGGTAATTCTTATCTTCAACTTTAAAACTCCAGCTAAGAATAGTACCTCAGCCCTTTAGTTTCATGTTTCCCGATAACTAACCAAACCCAAACCCGCTGCCAACAAGTCAGCTGTGACTTATAGCAGCCCTACGTAGGGGTTCTAAGGCTGCCCAGTCTTTATGGGAGCAGAAAGCCTCATCTTTTGCCTGCAGAGTACTTGGTGGATTTGAACTGCTGACCTTGTAGTGAGCAACCCAATGCATAACTTACTACAGCACAGAGACCATATTTGTAAAACTGTGATCTAGCTAGTTAGAGTCTTCTGTTATAGCTTTTGGTGACTCGGTCCTTGTGAAGATGGGCAGTTCCTGGACAGCATAGGACTTTGAGGTAGAGAAGCAAACTTTGATTAGGTAAAGACTTGCTTACCAAGGAGAGTACAGGAACGAGGGTACTGACTCAATTTCAAAGACTGTTTATGAAAGGGCAGGATCAAAAGATGTCAGATGTTGGGCAGAATCTGGTCAATATCAGCATGTTCTATCAGGAGAGTTGGGCTAGTGGCGAGAACTGAGGGATCAATTTTTGAGAGCCAGGGGATGATGGCAGATCTGTTATGCTGTGTAGCTTCTTAGTCAGGAGACGGGGGAGCAAGAGTAGAATCTAGTCTTGAGAAGAGATGTTGCATAAACTAGACACTGGCTGTTCTGGGGTCTAGGGTAGTCATCGAGTGCAGGAAGGCAGTCTGACTGTCAGCATCAAGAAGGAAATGCAGAGGCAAAACAAAATTGAGCAGACTAGTCACTAACTCCATAGGATGTGTAGCCTCTCCAGGGTTTCGTAAGCCTAATGAGCTCCCCTGGAGGGCACTAGGTCATTTTTTTTTTTTTTTTAAGTCTTTATTGTGAATTGAGTGATAGTTTATATGGGAGAACATTGGTTTTGTACTTTTCCTATCATATTTCGTTTCATTGCAATGATTATAATCCCCTCCATGCATCATCATTCAACAGTATTTGCTTCTATTCCATCTGTTTTTTGTTTGTTTGTTTTTTTTAATGTACACAAAAATACTCAGGAGTATATAATCACTTAAACACCCAAGGGCGCATTGCTTGCCTCCTGGCTGCAAGCTTGCCTCCTGGCTGGCAGCACACAGCCTTTCTCTTTCCATGAGTCTAGAGTTCTCAGCTGCTCTGTCTCTCCATGTCCTCAACTCTGCCTCCATCTCTGGTGTTGCTGCTTCTCTAGATAGGGTGGGTTTTTATGTTTGCTTTCTTGTGTTGATGGAGTAGCATGGACTTGTGGGCTTAAGACTTGGAGTTGAGACTTAGCCGCTGTATCAGGAATCTAAGAAAAAGAATTTATTTCAAGTTACAGTAATTTACGCAAGGGGAATGGTGTCATATTATTTATTTTCCTGTCACAGTGAGAACTGACTGGATAATTAGAAGACCTAGAAGACAGGAGATATTAATAGGCTTAACAATGAGGAAGGAGCTCTGGGACCGTAGGGGTTGAGTTGGGCTGCTAACCTCAAGGTTAGCAGTTCAAAACTACCAGCTGTTCCAAGGAATAAAGATAAGGCTTTGTGCTCCTGTAAAGATTTACAGCTTTGGAAACCGTATAGAGACTTGCTATAGATCATAACTAATTAGAAAGCTGTGGCCTTGGTTTCGTTCAAGAATTCTGGTCACTTCCATAGTGTCACTTATGACTATAACAGATACATTTCCTTGAAAGATTACATTAACTTGATTTTTACTGAAAGGCAATGTTTCTAATAAAACTTGCTGTTAGAGTTGTTCACATGATTATAGAGAAAGCTCTATTATCCTCCTTTGAACCTCTCAGAGTAGAATCTCATAGCACGTCCTGTGCGGCCATATCATTACACTGCTAGAACTGTACGTATTTACCTCACATGTAATACTTTATAGCTTTTTTCCCCATAATACAGGCAAGGGTATATATTGAAGTCCTGGTGTGGCATTGTAGGATAAGTCCTAAACTGCTAACCACAAAATTGACGGTTCAGATTCACCAGCTGATCCTCAAAAACCCTCTATAGGATCACTGTGAGTTGGAACTGACTCAACAGCACTGAACAACAACAACAACAGCGAGGACATATATTAAGCACTGGTGTGGTGCTATAGGTTAAGCATTAGACTGCTGACTGCTCTAATCACAAGGTCGGCGCTTTAAACTTACCAGCTACTCCTCAGAAACCCTAGACAGGGTCTCTCAATCAGAACTGACTGGAATGGCGCATGTCTGCAAAAACAAGGGCCTATATTGGAGCCTTAGTGACACAGTGGTTAAGCTCGGGCTTGCTAACTGAATGACTGGTGGTTTGAACCCACCAACTGCTCCATGAGAGTATGGTACGGCAGTATGTTCCGTAAAGAGGTACAGCCTTGGAAACCCGGTGGGGCAGTTCTACAGGATTGCTGTGACTTGGAATTGACTCAACACCAGTTAGTTTGGATTGATTTGTTTTGAAGGGCGTATATTGGTAGAATTTAATCCTACCTTGTAACCCTCTAAATGTTCTCCTAAGTTCAGAGTTACTGATAAAGACATAAACATTATTTAAAATTCCAGTTTCTGAGAAAATGTTCAAAAAGGACCCCTTAACCATTAATGGATTTCAGGATAGGAATTTTTTCATCCAAGTGATATATAGGTGGTTGCATTTGTTGTTCTCCCTAAAATATCATCCAACTCAGTAGTCTTTAATCCTGTGAGAGATCCTTTTATGATGTTTGATGCAAGACCATTTCTCTGGTTATTGGTCATGGTTTTTCAATCATCTAAACCTCTATGGTAGAAGGCAATGACTTTGATGAATGTTTTCTAACATTAAGTCATTTTTATGAGAAATAATTGATCTAAGAGCTTAGACTTAATTTTATTATTATCTTTGTAACTGTCAATTGGCTTTTGTATGATTGATTTACAGTTAGATAAAGCAAGCGTGCTTGTAGTTCAAGGGAGCTGAAATTGATAGGACTCATTGTTTTCACATCATAGCATGAGAGAACAAAGATACTAAAAATACTCTTTGTAGGAGGAGGCAGGCTGCCTACGACCAAACCATATTAATTTTTAACCATCTTTTTCTAGGCAAAAGCTAACAGTGTGTCCTATCATCGATGGGGAAGAGCACCTTCGTTTGTTGAACTTTCAACACAATTTTATAACTCGGATCCAAAATATTTCTAATCTTCAGAGGCTAATATTCTTGGATTTGTATGATAACCAGATTGAAGAGATTAGTGGGCTTTCTACTCTGAGATCTCTCCGTGTCCTTCTTTTGGGAAAGAACAGGTAACCTTTGTAGAACAGGTTTGGTTTGTAGCCTAATGTTATATTTAGGACTAATGTTGAGCTATATAGTGTTTAGACAACTACTCAGGAATGAGTAATACTCATGAAACTAAGAGAATAAAAATTTTGAAAATTTACTGGTATGAATTAAAATACTGTCATAATTTGTTTCCTGAGAGTCTGTCTGGCAATTAGTGAAACCAAATAACACTTATTTGTTTAGTTATTATTATTAAGGCTTTCCCTGTCATATATGGGAATAAGTAGCAGATTGTACCCTTCACTTAATGTTTTCTTAGGTCCTATTGTAATGACGGTGGAGGACTGGGCAGTGTTTCAGTCTGTTGTGCATCAAGTCGCTATGAATCAGAACCATCCAGAGGGTACCTGACAACAGCAGGCCCTGTTTGAAGATGTGGTTCACTTGTAGTTCTTCTCATCACTTGAGTAAGAACCGCGACACTCACTGATTTGTGACTGCTTGTCTGATTGGCTGAGTTGTATTCAGATGGCAGTTCCAGTGTGTATTTCCTATTGCATCCCGTCTGGATTTCCTCAGCTCCATATGATGGTCTGTTATTTAGTACAGCTACACACCTTCTCTGCTCATTTGCTTTTACTGCATAGCTTTTGCATTGTCTACAAATAAGGACTGCTTAGCAAAATTGCCCCAAAATGATTCTTACATTACAAAATTAGAAAGTTTGGGTACTGCATTATACCCCACCACTATTTTTCCCCCTACAGCATGAATCTTGGATTATTTCTTTATTCCACCCACTCATTGATAACATTTTTTTTCCAAAATCATAGCCCACAGTTTAAGCTTTCGTTTGCTCTCTGTGGTATCTCTCAAGGTTCCTGCCAGTTTAGTTTTATCATGTACAGTTTGTTCAAGTGTTAGGGTAAGTGAATTGGGATTATGAGTGAATTGGGGGGAATTTTAGAGTCACAGGATGTCCTAGAGGACTAGAAGTGGCCTCAGAGATCAGTTCTTTCATTGTACAGATGACAAAATGGACCTGGAGAGGTAAGGTGACTTTTTTTTTTTAATGTTTTATGTGATAGTTTACATGGGAAAACATTAGCTTTACATTCATCCTATCATATATCATTTCATTGTCATGCTTACAATCCCCTCCCTGCATCATCAACCAACCAAAGGGTATACCCTGCAAGCCTGCCCCCTGGTCGTCAGCACACAGCCGCTCTCCCTATCCGGGTCTAAAATCCCCAGCTGTTCCATCTCTCTACGTCATCGTCTCTGCCTCCATCTCTGGCATCACTGCTTCTCTGGGTAGGGTTCTGCTCTCCGCTCTTCTCCCTTGATGGTCCCAGGGACCTCCGCTCTTAGACTGCAAAGTTAATCATGCCCCTCCTTTTGCTACAAAATGTCTACTTTTACATTTCCATCCCTCACAATCTGTCCTGATAGCAATTACTCACTATTGTATCACAAGAGACCTATCTGCATCTGCTTTCATCAGCCCCGCCTGGACAGATTGGAAACTTCTCAGTGGAGATTCTGCCTTCCGCCACACCCTCTGGATCTAGGCTCCCTCTTGAAAGTTTGTAAGCCAGTCACTTCTTGCCTTTGTAGTCCCCCCACTTTGTGTAGCCAATGTCCAAGTTGCCCATCCCTGTCTACTCTGTGTAGGTAGGGGGTGGGAATGATCCTTGCTGTAAAGATTTGTTCCCTCTTTTGAGCTACTGCATCCATAGATGTAGGTAGGTCAAGTTCATCAAATTGTATCAGATTACTCTTTTTTCCCTCTTCTTTCTTCTTCTAGTTGAGCTCTGATCATCCAGTCATTGAAGCCAGGTCAAGTGGGTATTGTCTGCAAGTGTGGGTGAGGTGAAATGACTTTTAAAAGATCAGATGTGCACAAACTCCATGTAATAGGGAGAGATGCTACTGGAGTGGTGCATGGAGGGAGGTGGAAAGCAAAGTTAGCTTTTCAGCCTTTGAATCTATTCATTCCCTTCTAGCTGCTCCCTGTTATCTCTCCCCAGGAGTCCTTTAATCATTGCTGATCCTTACAGTCATCATAAGTTTGGCCCCACCACCACCATTGCTGTTGGGCCAATCTGTGCTCATGGTGGCCCTATAGGACATCATAGAACTACTCCATAGGTTAATCAAGGCTGTAAAGCTGTACAGAAGCAGACTGACACATTTTTCCCCCCACAAAATGATTATGGGTTCAAACCATCAACCTTTCAGTTGGCAGCCCAGCTCTTAACCCACTGCACCACCAGAGCTCCTTTAAGTTTGTGTAACTTTCATCTATTCATTAGTAGTTTAGGCCTTCCTTGTGGCCCTGATGGTACTGTAGGGTAAGCACTGGACTGTTAACCATAAGGTTGGAAGTTCAAACTCACCAGCCAATCAGCAGAAGGAAGATGAGGTTTTCTGCTCCAGTAAAGATTTATAGCCTGGGAAACCCTGACAGGTTCTCTGTCAGTCGGAAGCCACTCAGTGGCAGTGTTGTTTTTGTTTGTTTGTTTTGTTTTTTTTGGCTGTTGAATAAGAAACATATTTTCCAGTATCTTTTTATTGTGAATTATGTGTTAGTTTATATGGATGAACCTTATCTTTACATTTATCCTATCTTATTTTGTTTCATCACAATCCCCTGCATGCATCAACAAACAATCAAAGGGTATACCCCACACTCCTGCCAGCATACAGCCCCTCTCCCTCCCTGAGTCCAAAGTCCCCAGCTGCTCCTTCTGTCCACATCATCTTCTCTGCCTCCTAGTGTCACTGCCTCTCAGGACAGGGTCTCACACTTCACTTTTCTCCCTTGGTGGTTCCAGGGATCTCCACTCCTGGACTGCAAAATCAGCCACTCCCCTCCTTTTGTTACCAAACATTTACATTTACTTTTTCAACGCTCACTGTCAGACCTGATAGCAATCATTCCCTATTGAACCACAGGAGTCCTTTCCCCTCACCTTTTATTAACCCCATCCAAACAGGTTGGAAACAGTTCAGTGGAGGTTCTACCTTTCCCTGTATCCTCTGGAGCTAGTTCCCTATTGAAAGCTTGTAAGCCAGTCACTTCTTGCCTTTGTAGTCCCCCCATTTTGGGTAGCCAATGTCTAAGTTCCCCATCCCTGTCAACCCTGTGTACCGCGGGGATGGGAATGATCCTCACTGTAGAGATTTGTCCACTCCTACTGGTGTGGCGCTGTGGTTTAATGCACCAGACTGCAAAGCTGTTTGAACTGCAAGGTCAGCAGGTTAAGCTCACCAGCTGCTCCTCGGAAACCCTATACAGGGTTGGTATGGGTCGGAATCAACTTGACGGCACTTAACAACAACAACAACTGCATCCACTAGCATAAGTCGAGTCTGCCTATGGTCTTAAGATGTCACACACTTTTATTGTGAACTGAGTGAAGGTTTACGGAGCAGATCATCAGTTTTACATTCAACAAATCCTACACTTTGTTTGATCTCAATGATTGCAATCCCTTCCACAACAGATATCCCACTGCCTCGCTGCCGTCCTTCTTTCTACTCCACCCTCCTTCTCATCCCTTCTCATTCTTGTCCTTAGGGGAATGTTGCCTTTGTGATTGTGGATAGTTGACTATTCCAGTGACACTTTTAGTCTTGTCTGGTTTAACATAATATCAAAGAGCTCTTCCTGGTTCTTACTATCTTAAACTATCTATCTCTTTCTTCTTGTTCTTACTGTTCAGCTTTTCTGGCTTCTTAGAAATGGCTTTTTAAAAAATGTGTGCCTTGGTGACATCGGTCTATCTGATCTTATTTAAGGTCATATTTTACTTTATGGTTTACCTAAAAAGTAACACATACAGTTTTAGAAACTGCTAGTAATCTTGAATCAAAACAAAAATGAGTCAGAAGACAATGTCATTCTCCCTAATTGCATATTTGTGGTGCTGTAGGATAAACACTGGGCTGCTAACCACAAGGTCAGTGGTTCAAACCTACCAGCTGCTTTTTGGAAACCCTATGAGTAGCTGTGAGTTAGAACTGATTTGCCAGCACTTAAACCACAACAAAAGTGTTAGCAAAAGGTAAACCTGACGCTAAAACATATGCCAAGTGTTCTCTAGCTGGGTTGACTGTGTTCTTGTAAGGGATTGTGAGTCATATCCATCCTGAGCCAGTTCTTTTAGTGAGCATTATGCAAACCTGGTAGACAGAGAATGCTGGAGAGGAGGAAAGCACATGAGTGCTTCTGTCCCCTCCTGGGTTTGTCTTGGATGATTTACTGCTCCCTGCTGGTCAAGTTTGGATGTCTGTCTCCCTCCCACACTGCGAAGCACTATCTTTTAGTCAAGGGATGTGAAACTGTATATCAGAAACCAAGTCAACCACATGCCTCTAGGTACAGAAAGTACCAACAATGATTTCTACTAGAAATCATGCCAGAAAGACCAACACTCAGATTCTCTATGTGAACTTTTCAATGCTACCAAGAACTCCCAACTTCTCGGACATTGCTGTGGAAGTCCTCGCTGTATGACACCCCTGCCTTTGATACTTCCGGAGTCCTTGTGATCCCAGGCTAAGGAACAGAACTTCTCTGTGTTTCTCCTGATTACACAGGCCTGCAGATACAGAACACTCTTGCAGACCTGCAGATTCTCTATTCCTTTTCCCTTGACACCTTTAAGTTGTCCATGTAGGGATTTCTCTCTGATATGCATATAGGGCCTGTAGTGTTGTCCTCATTGTGGCATCAGTACCATATTATGGCCTGCAGAGACAATGGCCAGCCTAGAGCGCTGGGCTCCTGAGGTGGTGGAAGAGCCTTGTCTTTGTCTAGTTTCAGTTTCTGTTCAAGAAGGCAACAATCTTTGTTTTTTAACCTTTCAGTTTATGTTAGTGTTAACAGAACTCTTCAAGTATTGGGGACTAGACTGTTGTTGTGTTGTTAGGTGCTGTCCTGTTGGTTCCAAATCATAACCACCCTGTGCACAATTGAACGAATACTGCCGCGTCCTGCACCATCCTCACT